TTTAATTCAATGTTCTCGTTATTTCTGCAAACCCCACCTCCCCAATTAAAACGGAAGACGATGAATATAGTATGTAAGAGAATACATATTTTGGAGCTTAGTATTACATTTTTTTTTTTAGTTTCAAATGTGAGTTCAAAAATAAGGAAGTATTTTCACATTTCGGTTTAATACCTCTTACAACACTGTGCCTCTTTATATTCCTAGAATTAAAGAAAAAATAGTAAAGAAAAGTTTTTTTGTATCTATGCCAACAAAAACACTTTAATTGGAACTCCAAAAAACGAGGCGTTAAGTTAAACAAATCAGTTAAGAATTTCCAAGTTCTCAATTTACACTTAATCGGTTAACAACGAATTCTAATTTAACGCGGTAAAAAAGTAAATGAAATTTCATTTCAATATAATTTTTAATTTTCATTAAAAATATATATTTGAAATAAGTATTCACTAAAACGGTTATAAGCGGATTTGGATTATATTTATGGTTGGTTAAATAAATAACAAATAAAATAGTTTAATGACTTTAATGTTGAGATTAAAAGAAATACGAAATTAGAATTCGTATGTTATAGAGCAAAAAGTGAAATTTTTTAACATTTCCTTAAAAGAAATATACAAATTTTAAAACACAGCATTTTTTCATTTTTTTACTTAATAATCATTATTTATTTTAACTAAATAATTCGTCGTCAACAATCCTTTCCAATTCCAAAATTAAAAAAAAAAATTATTTAAAGTGAATTTATATAAAAGATATTTTAGCAATAGAATTTTAAATAACCTTAAGTGATTCAAATATGTTTTAATAAAAATGTTCCCGACATTTTATCTAACAATAGTGTATATAAAAAATTAGTAAAATAAATCAATTTTCTAAATACAAATTTTACAAATTGATAATTACATAGATCAACAAAATTTGAAAAAAGACGAAACCCTGAGACCAAGTTCTGAATTCGAATCGGAATGGTTAACATCGGTCCATTATTTCACCTAGAGCCATACAACTGAAACCCCCAAATAGAGCTTGTAAGCTCATAATTAGTTTTAATATACTCGTAACTCGTCAAAAAGTTGCCCAACCAAGTTCTATACTAGCCTTGATGTCCTGATGAATTTTGTAATGATAGGTTCTCATTTGACCCTAACCCCCATACAAAGCCCCCCTTTAAAATATGACTTAAAAGTTCACAATTTGCATAAAAAGACTAATGTCGCGATAAAATTCAGCATAAATACATTTTATGTAACCGTAAATCTACAAACTAAATTGTATGAGGATCGGTTCATATTTCCCCAAGTCCCATATAAAGCCTGTTTCAGAAAATTAATTTTTCAACAATAAACGGCAAGGTACAATTCAACTTAAATATTTTCAAAAATATGTAAAATGTTATAGGCCCAAAGTACATACTTTATAGGGTCGCAAAACTAAATTGTAAAAATTATAAAGGGAATGACGAACCTATAAGTATGTATATACATGTATATACCCATCACACGAAACCCTGCCGCATTATGTGTTATAGTTCCAGAGTTTAGGAATAAAGAACATTACATATTTTATAAGTAAAGAGTAGCTGAGTCCGCTTCGCCCACAGACTGAAATTCAAAAATCGGACTACGTTACGATATTGTCAACACAACAATTTATCATCAGGGAAATCAAAATATGCAAATGCAACACTGTTCTGTTAATAAAAAAAAATGTTTTTTAGGTCAATTCGGTTAAAAAAATTCTAAAATGCTTTTATTCGATATTTTTACTAAAATTATGTTAATAATTTTCATATAAAGTCATACTATGCTATATTATGCCGATTTATTGAAAATTTTTTAACATTGTTGTAATGGACAATCCTCTCTATAAGATAATGTAAAAAAATGCAAAATTGTAAAGCAAATATATTTAAACAAGTAAGAGTGCTATATTCGGCTGTGCCGAATCTTATATACCCTTTACCATAGTGACAATATCATTATTATTGCAATAGCAAAACAAAATGAACAACGCGCTAAACGAAATAACCACACAAAAACCAAATACACAAGGCAGTAAAACCAACAGCATCCAAACATACGAAACGAAATACACAAAATCAAAATACACAATGCAATGAAACCAACAGGCATCCTAACATACGAAACTGAATGCACCAAGAAACAAAAACAATATACACAAAGAAATGAAACACACAGGCATCCAAACATACGAAACGAAATATTCAAAAAAAAAAAAAAAAAACAATATACACAACGCAATGAAACCAACAGACACCCAAACATACGAAACTGAAAACTGAAACAAAAAAAATACGCAAGGCAATGAAACACACAGCCATCCAAACATATGTTATAGATGTCAATTTTTCTTAGAAATGTAAATTTTGTGAAAAATTTGTTATAAATGAATATAAACAATACAAACGGGTTGAAAAAAATTCAATATGTTTGTGTAAATATCAATTTTTTTTTTTTTTGTACAAACAAACAGCAAGCATTTGTACAAACACGAAACACCCTCATACACTACATAACAGGCTTGCACAAACATAAAATATTGGTATGTTTGTCAAGCCGCTTGTGTAGTCTATTTGGGCCTTAAGCAGCGTTGTTGTTGCTTATACATATCAAAGCTTATGTATATCAAAGCATGAAAAAAACTGTCTTTTTATGAAATAGAGGTTGTCTCGGATTTTTGCTCATATCTCCGGTATTTAATGGCCGATTTTGCTGATTCTTAATAGCGATATTCTCGAAAGCATGTCTAACAGAATTATTGAAGATTCGGATCTCGCCGATATCTGGGATCCTCTAAAAACTGATTTCAACAAACACACACAGACAGACAGACAGACGGACATAGCTTAATCAACTCCCCTACCTATAAGGATCCAGAATATATATTATACTCTATGGGGTCGGAAAATTATATTATAGAAATTACAAACGGAATGACAAACTTATATATACCCTTCTCACGAAGGTGAAGGGTATACAAAGTGATATTCATCGCGTTTGGTGCGGGAACTTTTTTCATGATCGCGAAAAAATAATGTCATATTCCGTAACATATTTTCAAACTCTACAAGGTTATGCTATGTAGTATTTAAACAATTCTAGACTTTAGATCATGGATTAGTTTATTAACTAGCCTATGGACTGGTGTATCGACTAATCTATTACTTTTTTGAAATATAATATTCACTCTTTTAGAACAAAAACTACTAAATGTATCCGACAGCAGATCAACCAAGAATGATGAATTAAAAGGAATTCGATACTTTTTATAAATCTAGTCGATAAGTTGATAAAATTTGTACAAAATATGCATTTTTATACCCTCCACCTCTATCAGTGGTGATAGAGGGTATATCCGTAAATTTTTTCATTCCGTGTATTACTGACTGAGAAATATTTATCTGAGACCCAACAAGGTACATACATACATTCATATTATTTTTTAAAGATATTGGGATGAAATTCATCATGAATGTGTCTAAAGTCTATATAAATCACCCAGCGAAATTATTTCCGGATCGGTTCATAATCGGTCATAGCCCCAGTAAGGTTCATTTAAGATATCTACATAAAATTCAACAGCAATATGTTTTGCATATATGTACATCACTCTGGCATTTTTTTCCAGATTGGTCCATAATTGGTCATAGCTGCCATATAAGGTATACTTCTGAAAATTACTTTAAATCTCATATTTCATTAAAAAAAAAATATATCGGCATATTTTTTGTATATATAAATCATTTTGGTTATAGTTTTCATATAAGAACCACTTCCGAAAGTCATATGTCACACATATGTCATAAATATATAATGATATCCGGATATAATTCGACATGAGTATTACAAAATAATCTCTAAAGATATCTCGAAAAAGAAAGAAGATATGTCAGATGTTAAGCCTTTATTAAATTTGACAGAATGGACTTTCAGATGGCATACAAGAATTTATAAATAAAGTGGTCTTGACGCTGTTATAAAGTGGTCTTGACGCTGTTATAAGATGGAGATTTTAAAAAAATACCTTTTTTAATTAGGTATATATAAGCGAATATTTTCATTTTCAATATAAACTCTAGCTGGAGGTTAGGTTTAGTTACAAATGTCACTTGAAAATATTGTGAAACAAAGTAAATAACACAATAATAAATAATATTTTTTCGATGATTATTTTGTTTGTATTAAATAATATTTTACATTTTTATTTCTATAACAACTTCAAACATCTTAAGATTTGCCTTTTTTACAAGAAATTTTCTTAGACATAAAAAAATGAATACAAAAATGAAAAAAAATTGTAGTCGTGATAACTATTCGAAAACAAAATAATGTATTCGAATATGCAATATGCATGCAAGAACCAATAACAAAATTATGAATCTGAAATATTTAATCAATTTTTATGCTTTCTAAATCCTTTGTAGGTAAAATTGTTTGTGGTAACGATGTAAATTTATTTTACAATTGGCAACAACCGAAGCACAACATACATTTTAGGGTTATATTATTTGTAAATCTATAAAATACATATTTATTAATAAATAAACAACATAAATGGATTGTTGATTTCGAAACTGGGGGTTGGGGAGGCGAGCGACAGTATGGGCCACAAGTATGTATGCAAAATACATGGGGTTGGGAATATTGTGGTGACAGACCGTGTAATGCGTGTTTGTGAAACATAAACACAGTCAGGTTGAAAGTAAAAAATCTGAAGTTTCATAATTGTTTATATACATATTTTGCTTAGAATTCAATCGAATATTTATGAGAAACAATTATTACAAGAATTTACATAGATTAAAAGGGCTTTAAAACTATGGTGACCGGAAATATTTACATAGCAAAGTTTGTATTTAAAAATAGGTCTATAAACGTAAAAGGAAGTTATTTCCCAATAGCAACAATACATACACACTCACACACAGCTTTATTACAAAGTCATAACAGTCATTATTTTTGGCAAATAAGTTTCTTACATTTTTATTTAATTTGTGGTTATGGGAAATAAAGTTTTCAAAAACTTTTTATTGATAAATTATTGAATAAAGTTTGGTAATAATATTTTTGCTATTTGTATTTTTTTGTTACTATTTTAGATGCAAGCATATCGCGATAATTTCAAACAAACACCTTGCCCTTCGAATTTGGAACAAGCACCACCACCCCCTTCCTCCCAAAAAGTCGTTTTACCATTTTCAAAAGGCACCAACAATCGTAGCCGTAGGTGTTAATAACGATTATAATACGAATGGTTCAATAACCGGGTGCCGGTGCTGCAACAGTAACAACTCCCAGAATGCTAAGTCCCACACCTTCGGAAAATCCGGGCAATAATCCCTCATCGACGTCAGCTTTATTGCGACAAAATCAAGAGTTTGCGACAAAACGTTTAGCCGAGGAAGCGAATAGCTATCGTCGACGTTTGGACACCTATAAACAGGCTCAACAGAATCAGGCTACTTAGTGAGTCGTTTTTGCAGTCGAAAATTCAACAATATCGTCAACGTTGGCAGTGATTTGGAGGATCGTATGCAGGAAACTATTAAACCGGTTACAACACATGTCATACGCCAAAAATTACCAACTGGACCAACATCGAGTCAGGTTATGGTAGGTATTATTGGAATTTATTAATTTAATTCAGCTCGAGTCTGCATGTCGATTCGAATCGAAATTTTCACCGTTAGTAACTTTGGCATTCTGCTTTCGATTCGACGCTCCGTCACCAAAATAACAACATACAAAAATGTAGCTACGATCGCCATGCAGAATACACAACAATCGTAAAAGCATTGAAATGAAATACATTTGCTTCTTCTTTTTCTTATGATTCCGTTTTTGTTGAATACCTCTTTTCAACCGTAGCGTAGCTGAATGCGGAACCGTAATCGAAATTTGGAATAGGGATGATTACTTCAGAAAATTACGTTTAAAATACAATTAAAAATGTATGAAATATAGGGGGCCGATCGAAACGAGATCTATCGGAGCCAAAAACTCTATACTAAATTTTATGAAGAGCGGTCAAAATTTGCACCTAACTTCATATAACATCATCTTCAGAAACTTAACAAAAACTATTTTTATAGCAACCGTATAGCAAATATTTGAGATCTAAACTCTAATACATAAAACAGTTTAATATTAATAAAACGTTCCAAATGTGGAAAATTTAAGGTATCTCTTTTAAAAAGAACCAATCTCAAAAGAGTGTCCATAATTGACCCATTGATGGTGGGTATATAAGATTCAGCATTGCCGAATATAACGCTTTTACTTGCTCATATTATGATCATTTACTCTGAGAGCTATAGTGTACATAACTGGTTCAGTTAATACAGAATATTTTGGGACAATTGCATCACTCTAGGTAGGACCTAGACATATCGATATTTCAAGATGATTTTTAAAAGATCCAACTAGTGGTAAATTAAACTTATTTTTATACCCTACACCACTTTAGTGGGGAGGTTATATTGGATGTGTGCTGATGTTTGTAACATACAAAAATATTCGTCCTAGACCCACCTTTTTTTTGACCCAAGGACGAAGCCTATTGAAAATGGTTAAAATCGGTCCATTATTTCACCTAGCCCCCATAGAACAGAACCCCCCGAAAAGGGCTTCTGAGCTCATAATTATGTTAAATATACAGATATATCGATAAAATACGGCACAACTAAGTTTTGATGACCCTGCCAAATTTCATAAAGATCGGGCCCCATTTGACCCTAGCTCCCATACAAAGTCCCCTTCAGAAAATTACTTGAATATCCCAAATTAACTTATAAACATAAATATCGCGATGAAATTCAGCACAATAAATATTATGTAAATATAAATATATTCACAAAATTTTATCGGGCTTGGTCCATATTTGCCCCTAGCCCCCATATAAAGCCTCTTTCAGAAATTAGTTTTTCATCCATAAATTGCTTAAATGTATCGGAATAAGGGAATATTGAAGATAAATGCTTTATTATGAAAAATAAATCACATTTAATATTCATAACTGGTGTAGGGTATCATATGGTCGGCCACGCCCGACTGACTATACTTTCTTACTTGTTTCATATATTTTAGTGTTCAACTTCATTAACTTTGGGGCACTCTAGCCAACCATGTTCCTCCTCGTTAGAAACACCACCCTCACCACCGACCTGTGGAGGTGCTGGACGAGATTTTGTTATACACGAAGATAGCAGTGAATTGTGTCGTAAATTGGAAGATGAACATAAAAGGCTGAACAGCTTTTGGCCCAAAATAATGCCTACTACGTCAACAGCTAATAGAATCGAATCGTACGAATGAGGCTTTAACGAATGATTTGCAAAAACTAACAATGATTGGTCGAATTTGAGAGATGAACTGATGGTCAAGGAGGATGAGTTTAAAGAAGAAGAGCAGGTAATATTAAATATAAAGAAAAATTAAACAAAATTTTTAAGTATTAGTTTCATAATAAATTTATTAAACACAAATGTTTTTATCAAGTACAAGTGTACTTAAAATGAGAATTATTCCGACTAGTACAAACTTAATTTATTACAGGCCTTCAAAGACTATTACAACAGTGAGCACAATCGTCTTTTGAAAATGTGGCGTGAAGTTGTGGCCGTTAAGCGGGCCTTTAAAGATATGCAAACCGCCATGAAGAATGAAGTAGCCAAAATGGGTTTGGAAGTCAATGGGGCGGCCAAGGACATAAATTCGACTTGCGGAAATGTAGCCTTTAATATGCAACAACTTAAAACGAGCCGCCGATGAACAACTCGCTCAAGCTAAACGTGAAAACGATGAGTTGCAAAATCAATTGGCCACTCTAAAAGTGCAACATGAAAGTGCTAGACACGAGATTTTGGAACGTGATCAACGCCTATTAGATCTAGTTAATCAATTGAAAAAACTCGAAGATAGATGTGCACAAGCTGAATCACAAGCCATGTTAGCCAGTCGTTATAATGACGAAATTGAACGTTTAAACAGTTCAATACGAGAGATAGCACAAGCTGTGGTCTTAGATGCTGAGATAGCAGATCGAGAACAAGCTGCTGATGCAGCAACGTCATCAGGTGGTGCTGATGCAACAGCAGGTTCAATGCAGCACATGCATTTAACGCGTGATACTACATCGTCAGCATCAGCAAAATCGCCTAGACGTTCTTCGGCACGAGCCTCGCAGGCATTTGCTGAGGGAACTATATCTGCTGTGCAAGCAGCTTTGCACAAATATCAATTGGCTTTGCACGACATGCAAGTCAAATACCAAAATGCAAATGAAAATCTATACGCTCCACCAAGACACAGTTGGACACCAGTGAGGGTACCAAAGCCTTGTTGACTTCTAAGATACAACAGCTAACAGAAAAATTAGATGCCAGTAATTCCAAACTATCGGAATTGTTGAAAGAACGTGATAGTCTGCAAAAAACTTTGGACGAGATAAGAGATCAAAAACAGCAGTCTGATCAAGGAAAGGCAGAAATAAATAATGCGGTAAAATTTACAAAATTATTTTAATTTATAATAAATTAAAGTATGGATTATTTTTCAGTTTGAAAACTTAAGTGTAGACTTTGAAAAGTTGCAGTTTAATTATGGTAAACTGCAAAAGAAAATCGATGCCTTGGAGGAGGACAAAAAGGCAGTGGAATTGGAGATACAAAGAATTTTGAAAGATAAAAACATAACAGAATTGAATTTAAGGTAAAAACAAATAATAATTATAACTACATCAGGTGCTTATTAATAAATAAATAAAATCTTTTAGAGCCGAAGAAGATCGTGGCAGTCGTTTGAGAGAGGAGACAATATCCTTAAGAGAGGAATTAAATCGCATTAGTTTAAATCGTGATTTACTCGAACAACAGCGCATTGAATCTGATAATATAATTAATTTACTGGAAAAACAAAAAGCCGATTTAGAATATGATCTAGATAAGATACTTTTGGAAAAATGTGATCTTCAAGAACGTTTGGAAAAGATATCCAGCAATAGCTCTTCCACCACGGATGAGTTGAAAATCCTACAGCACAATATCCATGAGGTGCAAGAAGAACGCAAAAAAATGGCCCAACAATTGCAAGATCAAACAAATGAATTGGCCGATGTACGCAAAGAGTTAAGTAATTTGGATAAGGTACGTTTGGAGTTGGAAACCGATAATTTGGGTTTCAGTGAAAAAGTGAAATGTTTACAAATGGAAAAGGAGAAAATATTACAAGATCTGGCATGTCTTACTAGAGATCGTAGTGATATACACAATCAGTTAACGGCATTGTGTCGTAAAAAGGAGTCATTGAATGAGGAATTAATGCGCACCCGCCAGAGATTAGAACAAACTACCGAGACGAATAATCGTCTTAATCGTAATCTAGAGGAAATGGTTAAAGATGTCGAAGAAAAACAAGTTGTCATCGATTTACATGAAAAGGAAACGCATCGTTTGCAGGTGAGTCTAGTTCTTAATAGATAATATTAAACTTTATAATCCTTTTTGTATTTAGGAACTATTGGCAGCTTTACGCTCGGAAAAAGAATCTCTAGATGCTGTACTGTTCGATACCAACTCCAACTTAGAAGCCACCGAAGAACGAAGAGCCCAAATCGAAAAAGAACTACAAGAAGCCTTAGTGCGAGAAGAATCATTGAAAAACAATGTGGCACGCCTACAAAAAGACCTAGAACAATGTCAACGTCGAGCCCAAGAAACGAAAACTCAGCTAATCAATGCTGCCCGTGAAGCTGAAAATGATTTCAATCAAAAGATTGCCAATCTTAAATCAACAGCCGAAGAGACGACCAAAAATCATGCCGAGGAATTATTACAATTACGTAGTAGTTTAGAGAAGCGCATGCAACAGGCTTTGCAAGCTCTTCAAACGGCCAAAGATGATGAAATTGAAAAGCAACAGGAGCGTTTGGATGCTCTACAAACGCATATGGAAAGTTTGATACAGCAACACGAAGAGGCATTGATTCGTGCCGAAAATGAGAAGCAACAAGCTTTACTGATAGGTAAGTGGCAGGAAGTGAGTCGAAGATCGAAGTTGATCTCGATTCCGATATTCAAAAAATGTTTAGAATTTTCATATCGAAATCGCTATAATATCGATTTCTTCATAATTTTCGATTCCAACAAATTTGTGTTTGATAAATTTACTCTTTAATTACTGTTTTATTTCAGCTCATCGTGATAAACAGGCCATACAAGAGAAATTAGAAGCGGTGGCAAGAGAATTGAAGAATGAACAGGATGGCTTAGAGCGGGCCAAGCGAGAACATAATGCACGAGATGAGAAACAACGTTCCGCAATAGCCCAACTTAAAGATGAAATAGTTGCCATGAGAACTAAAGAAGAAGAGCAAAAGTAAGTTCATTTTATTTAAAGGATTGCTAAAAAGGATTCAATGAAAGATGCCGAGAACAATTGACTATTTTTTATCAGTTTCTTTAAATTCAGGAAAGTTCTTAAATTATATTTTATATTTTTCCAGAATTAAATTGGAAGATTGTATACGTAAACAAGAAATACAGATGAATGCTCTAAGAGAAGAAAGAGATAATCTTCTAAGGCTTAGCGATGAATTGAAAATGGATATAAGACTTAAAGACGATAAAGTAGAATCGATAACGAATGAACTGCAAGAAACTCTGAGAAAGGCCAAAGAGGGTAAGTAACATCATTACCTTAAACAAATCGTAGGAAAATAATTTGTATTATCACCTTTAAACTAGGTGAGGGTTATATAGAGAGTTTGCGTAAAGACTTGACCGATACCAGAAGACAATTGGCTGATAGCAATATCGAACGTGACAAGTACTCTGACAGCAATAAAGAACTGAGAGATCATGTGAAACTAGTGGAAAGCTCTAAACGTGAGCAGGCTAGAGCTATAGAGGAAGCTTTGCAGAAGATAAGCAATTTGGAGGAGAGTAAAAATACTTTGGAAAATGAGCGTACACGTTTGACAACAGTACTCAAAGAGACTGAAAATAATTTATCTAAAACCAGCCAAGAACTAAATAGCACCAGAAATACTCTGCAAAAGACCCAAGTAGAGTTTGCCCAAAAGGATGAAGGTGGCAAAGAGCTGCAGAATAAACTAGCCTCAGAGACAGAGCTAAAAGAAAGGGCACAACAGGAACTGAATCAAGTGAAAAAACAATTGGCCGATTTGGAGGCAAATCTTTGCGCTACACGACAAGAATTGGGCAGAGCTAGATGTCATTCCAATCAGGAGGAGCATCGTTTCCATAATCGGGAACAGGAATTGGTAGCTCGCATTGAAGAGGCCCGCGGTCGGGAAAAACGTTTAGAAGATCAAAAACATAATTTGGAAGTGTGTTTGGCAGATGCTACACAACAAATACAAGAACTAAAGGCTCGCCTAGGAGGCGCAGAAGGACGTATCCGTGCTTTAGATGAACAATTAGCCTGTGTTGAGTTACACAAGCGTGAGACCGAACATAAGTTAAGTTCAGTTATTCACACTCTTCGACGTATCGCTGGCATACAAATCGATGGCAGCGTTAATCTTTCACATCGTCTGGTTAGTCCATCTCGACGCTTCTCTCCGGTACGTAGTGTTTCAGGAGGTGTGGCTCCTAGTTGTCATGATTTTGAAACCCGCAGTACTTCCCACTGTCCCGATGGCCCGGCCTTAGATTGTGATCCCGACCTTATACGGAAGGGTGTTAGATGTCTTATGCATCAAGTGGCTCAAATCGAAAGAGAGAAAGATGATTACAAAATGCAACTTTTGACAGCCAAGAAACAATTGCAAGACGCTGGTGAACAGCAATTGAAGTGTGATTCTAAAGTTTCCAAACTTCAACAGATGATACGTCATCTTCAGCAGGAGAAGAGCAATCTTGATACAGAGCGCAGCATGAAGGTATCAGCTCTAAATGCCTTGGAAGATAAATTGCATAAAAAACAAGATGAATGCCAACAACTAAGAGAGAAACTGGCTCAAACTGAAATGCAGCTAAACTCATGCACCGAAGAGAATTCCCAAAATGAAGATCGTTTAGAGAAGTGCAGGCAACATGGCGCCAAATTGGAGAATGAAAAACGACATCTTCAAGAAGAGTTGGCTAAAATCGAAGGCCGAGCCACAAAGTTGGACTTGCAAAGGGTAGCCCTAGAGGGAGATCTTACTCGTTTACAAATGGCTTTGCAAGAGAAAGACTGCAATATACGCCAGGCTCAAGAACGTTTAGATAACCAAAATAGAGCCATGGTACAATTGGAAGATAGATGTGCTTCATTGAAAACGGCCTTAGATCAAATGAAAGAGAGATTGCAAAGAGCGGCTGTAGTAGAAGCTGAGCTAAGAGGTGAGCTAAAGACTGCTCACAAAGAATTAACGGACCAAGGTCATAGTTCCCAAACAAATGAAGATAAACTGAAGTTATTGCAAAAATCTTTACAAACAGCCGAAAATGAAAAACGCATTTTAGGCGAACGACTAGAAAAAGCGCAATCTTCAATTAATGAACTCAGACGAGGACAACAGGCTCAACTGGACAGTGCTCAACGTTTACAAGATCAGGTCAACGACTTGGAAGTACAAAGATCAGCCTTAGAATCACAATTACGTATTGCAAAATGGAATCAAGAATCAGGTGATAAAAATACTGGTACTAATGGTCGTAATGAAGAAGATGAACTCAATCGACAGCTAAAATCATCACAAAGAGAAAAATCTGAATTACGCACCAAACTGCAGGTATTGCAGGACAAGGTTAAACAATTAGAGACAGAACGCAAAAGTAAATTCTCTGGTGACAGTGTTTATGATCGATCTGAAAAGGCGGGAGGTGGTGGTCCAAATACATCTTCATCTTATTATGATGGCAATTATGACTCTAATCGTTTGGACACAAATAATGCTGGCAAAAGCGATAATTATCTAAAAAGCTCTAGCGCAGCAGGTGTTGGAGGAACATTTAATTGTGGCTTGGACCATGCTGTTATTGAACATGAAAATCGTGATTTACGCTTGAAAGTGAGACGTTTGGAGACCCTTTTAGCGGAAAAAGAATCCGAATTGGCACGTTGTAAAGCTCGCATTCATGATAGTGCCAAGTGTATGGATGGCTTAGATTCCGACCGCTATAGAAGTGCTCAAATGCATGCTGAAAAACTATTGGATGCCCGTGAACAGGCTCATAGGCAACAAGTGTTACGTTTGGAGAATCAGGTAATCATCCAACATCAGTTGTAAAATATAATAATGCAGAAGAATGTGATTTTTTACTTTATACTATTTTAGATCTCTATGCTGCGAGAACAATTGGCGCAGGAGGCAAAACGCCGTCAGCAGTATATTTTACGTAGCTCGAAAGCCAATCGTGAAATGCAACATTTACGCAATACTTTAGGTGACAGTTTACGTCATGTTTCACAGCATCCTTTGGATCCAAATCTTTTGGAAAGTGAATCTAGAAGGTAAATTTTTTTTGGGGATTCCTTTTGTATTGTATTTTCACAATATTTTCTTTTTTCGTACAGATTAGATAATGCTGTTTCAATGAGTTTACCACCATCCACCTGCAGAGATTATGAAAGGGATTAGAAAAGAATTTTCAAGCCAAATTCAATGTAACAAGCACCAAACAATTATCAATAACAACTGCCATATTCCTACCAATATTAGAAAAACTAATGCATTTATTTTAAAATGTTAATTAAAAATATATAAAATGAGTTTTAACAGAATTTGCACAGAACCGAAACAAATCTCAAATACAATTTAAACTTAAGTAAAAAACCTTAACTCTAGTCAAGACACCACACATTTATTAATATTTTTAAAACAATAAAAGTTTTTTTACACCCAACTCATATTTGAACTCATTATACAAAAAGAAAACACCAACACATTAACATCCTGAAATAAATCCTTAAAGAAGGCTTATCGTTGTCTGCTTAGAAAGACAATCGTATATAGTGTGTTCAATACAATAGGAAATTAAAACAAATCTTATTTTAATTTTTAGTTTGTTTTTTCCCAGAAATACTGTTACGGTTCTCCTGTTTAAAAAAGAGAACAACGTTTTACAGTTACACTTTAATTATGAACAAGAAAAAATCAACATTTTTATATACTTTTTTATTTATTTTATACTTTAAACCTGTGTTAAGCACTAAATTATTAAAATAATTTGTGTTAAAGAAGGATCATTAAGAAAACTATCTATAACTTACTAAAAACAAATAAAAGAAATCAAGTAATTTATAACAACAATGGTTTTATTTCTGTTTAAGCAAATTTTCTAAGCAACTAACAACAATTTTCATATTAGCTTTTTGTTCCGATAGTTTAGCCACTTCACCCACGATAGCAAACAAAGCTTTCGTTTTACCACTTTGATATTGTTTAACCGCCTTAGATTGATTGGTCAAAGCTTGTTTACAATATTCCTCAATTGTTTCAATATCGGAAATTTGTTGCAGATTGTGAGTTTTTATAAGCTAAAAGAAACACAAAATTATTTATTGTTCTATAGTATTTTTAATATCAAATAAGTTTACCTTATCAATTTCTGTTGCAGAATCTGTAACTAATTCAATTAATTTTCTGGCCGCTTGTAAATTAATTTCTTCTGCATGTAAAGCTTTCAATATATCCTTTAAATGGTTGTAATTCACATGGCTATATAGCATAAGAAATATTTGTTTAATTTTTATTTTAAATAATTTGTTGATATTAATGCGCTACATACCATTTATCCAAATCAATGTGGCTTTATTACAATAAGTTAAAAAGTCATTAATAAGGAAGTTTGTTACAAGTTTTTTTGGTATGGCGGGTAAGTTTTTAATAATATTCATAAAATGTTCCAGTAGTATGGGTTCATTCTGTAACGAAGTATATCTATAAGGAATATATCGGAATTATTTTAAAGAGGACAGCCTCCACTCTTAAGAGGGGCAATATGCATTATTAAAGAAAAAAACATTTTAGAATGTGAAAGCTTGCCTATCTAGTTTCTTCTTTATCTATCTATCTATCTATCTATCTATCTATCTACTATCTATCTATCTATCTATCTATCTATCTATCTATCTATCTATCTATCTATCTATCTATCTATCTATCTATCTATCTATCTACTTCTATCTATCTAATCTATCTATCTATCTATCTCTTCTATCTATCTATCTATCTATCTATCTATCTATCTATCTATCTATCTATCTATCTCTATCTATCTATCTATCTATCTATCTATCTATCTATCTCTATCTATCTATCTATCTATCTATCTATCTATCTATCTATCTATCTATCTATCTATCTATTTATCTATCTATCTATCTATCTATCTATCTATCTATCTATCTACTCTATCTATCTATCTATCTATCTATCTATCTATCCTCTATCTATCTATCTATCTATCTATCTATCTATCTATCTATCTATCTATCTATCTATCTATCTATCTATCTATCTATCTATCTATCTATCTATCTATCTATCTATCCATCTATCTATCTATCTATCTATCTATCTATCTATCTATCTATCTATCTATCTATCTATCTATCTATCTATCTATCTATCTATCTATCTATCTATCTATCTATCTATCTATCTATCTATCTATCTATCTATCTATCTATCTATCTATCTATCTATCTATCTATCCTATCTATCTATCTATCTATCTATCTATCTATCTATCTATCTATCTATCTATCTATCTATCTATCTATCTATCTATCTATCTATCTATCTATCTATCTATCTATCTATCTATCTATCTATCTATCTATCTATCTATCTATCTATCTATCTATCTATCTATCTATCTATCTATCTATCTATCTATATATCTATTATGGATAGGTACATGATAAAATTAATATTTTTCTAATATGGATCTGAAGAGCTTAATTCCTTAATTCCAAACTATATCATCTTACCACCAATATAATTGCTACTTCCTGATTAAGTTTATATTCCTCCACCAAACGTTTTCTAGTATCTTCTGGTAACTCCGGTAACTCTTTTGCAACAGCCGGCACTGAAACCAATGAAGAGGGATCATTGCTGTTAGTCTTCTCATCCGACATATTCAAAATCAAGGGTGGCAAATTAGGCTCTGGCATAAAACGATAATCTTGTAAAACTTCCTTATCACGCATAGCTACAGTGCAACGATTTTCAGCATCCCAAGAACGAGTTTCATTGGTAATAATACCACCCTGAGCTACAACATCAAATTGACGTTCGATTTCATAGGTAATAGCTTGAGAAATACTACGTACTGAGCCAATATTTTTAACTTCAGTACGAACACCGAACGGTTCACCTTCTTCGTGTATTGAAATATTAGCATCTACGCGAAGAGCACCTTCTTCCATTTTGCAAGAGCAGGTTTGTAAGCGTTTCAATGTTAGTATCAATTCTTTAACTAAAGATGCTGCCTCTTCGCCAGTTTCTAGATCTGGCGCAAAGACTAATTCCATAAGTGGTAAACCGGCACGATTTAAATCCACCAGACTTCTTTTAAGTTCATCATCATGCAGTGACTTGCCACTGTCCTGTTCCAACTGCAATTGTAATAATTTGACAGTTTTGTGATAAATCTTTTTGCCCGGTTGTATGACAGGAAATGTCATTTGACCATTATTTGCCAAAGCTGCACGTTGTTGAGTTATTTGATAACCTGTCTACAAAAGTATGTAATAAACGAATATAATAACCTAAAAGCAATTAAAAGAATTTAAAGTAATAACCGGCAAATCCGCATAAAAATAATGTTTGCGATCGAACATTGAAACTTGATTTATTTTGCAACCCAAAGCCAAGGCTGTTTTAACACCATACTCCACACATTTACGATTTAGTACTGGTAATGTTCCCGGTATGGAAGCATCAAAATAGGACACTGCTGAATTTAAAGGTGATCCAAATGTAGTTCCACTACCAGAAAATAATTTCGAATCGGTTGCTATCTGAGCATGTACTTCCAAACCAACTACACTTTTCCATTTTCTGTAGCGATTATTTTTAATAAGTTTTGTAAATAGTTGGAGTTTTATTTATTAATTACTTGCCCTTTTAAAGCTTTTGCTGTTTGTATTTTTGTCGCATATGTTCTTATTAAACAGTTTTTATTTAAAAATATTAATTTTTGAAACATTTTCTATTATGTGGTACAAACCCCGATTTACGAAATGGTTGCAAAACAAAGATCAGCTGGTCGAAATCAATCAATATAAGGATGACCTCAGTTGCCAAGTCTGACGGAAAGGCAAAATATTAAGTTTGACAGTTAATGTTGTACGAAATTTTTTTTTATATATTAAGTTTGACAGTTTGCACCACCTATTTGGAATCCGAACGATCAGCTGTTTAGGTTATTTTTGGTTAATATCATGGTATTGCCATATCTAACGTTTTACACTCATAATAAAAATGTTAATCAAATTACAGATGAAAATATTATTACATACAACAAATATTATTAGAATAGTTGACGCTTAACTGAAAAATTAAAAACGAAGATAATGGGAGTTCGACTACGAAAGTGAGTAATAATAATAATAATATAATTTTTGAATATTTCTGATAGATTTTCTTAATAATACTAAAATTTAGAGATTGTGTCTTTGGAGCACATCAAACTTATAAATTTTTTGTTAATATAAGTTTTTTAAATAAAGAATTTTGAAATTATTTTTGATTACGAATAACAGAACTGAAATTTTTAAAATAATTTTTAATATTTATTAAAATATTAACGGCTAACAAAAGTGGCAACCCCAGTCATACATGTGTTGATTTGACACTTGTTTTACTGACGTTACGTTATGAATTGTCATTGGAGAGAGCAGTGTTAACAACTTTATATTTAATAAAAATAGTCGGAACTCCTTAACGACTCTAAACGGCTCCAAATATATGTAGTTGAATATAATTATATATAAAAAAATCAATTTTTAAGGTTAGTATTTATTAAATGATAATAACTTTTAAGTGATTTTTCAAAAAAAAAAAAAAAAAAAAAAAAAAAAAAAAAAAAATAATAATAATTTTCAAAATGTTATAAAAACGCATTACATTAAAAAAAAATTAAGTTCTTCATTTTTAAATCTTGATATTTTTTCTTTTCAAGTGAAATGTAAGGACCGGGACATTCATAAATACATATAATTCTGAAGTGTAGACTTACAAAAAACGTAATGCACTAATAGGTTAAAAAGCATCGCAGATGGAAAAGGGCACGATTTTGTGAAATAAGTTAAAAGTTTTATGAACTGTTTGTTGTTTTCTTTTGGAAAGCGCCGCAGGCGAATAATAAGTAAAATTTGGATAGATAATGCGGAAGATATTCTACATTATATTATAAATCATTAAATGTTTGTAACTCCTAAACCAAATGAGAGAAAAAAATGTTTACATCAAACAATTTTAAATTAAGGTTAAAATATTAAAAAAACGCAGCCGTTTAGAGTCGGTAAGTTATGCCAAAAAACGACCTCACTTCTATAAATTTTTAGCTAATGAAAACTTTTTCCAAAACAGTTATTAGTGACTTCTCCTTTTATAGGTTCGCCTTGCTTTAAATTATATTATCTGCCGATATACATACATATATAATTTCGCCTTTCATTGTATCGCCAATTATATTTTTAATTAATAAGCATTTAAAAAATCGCTAGATTAGACAGTTGAATAATCACAAAATTACCATCACTGTTATTGGGGCCTCCAACAGATTTTTTCTTTCATTTCTGTTCATTTTATACTTTATTCTATTGTTTTACTTGTGTCTTCGTTTTGCTCCTCCTCCACTAACTAACTACTACTTCTACTCTGGTAATATCGCTCGTTTTGGAGGAATGTAGAAGAAAAAAATCATAAATGATACGAGAAGGTGCACGATGAAATGTAAAATTTTTAAAAAATTCTAAAATTTTATATTGTTTCAATTTCTGAACGACAGAAATTTGCAACAATTCTCGAACGCACCCAACCAATCATCCAGAGAGCACTTAGTGACAACGACAGCAGCGAAAAAAGGAAGACCAAAATAAGATCGATCAACCAACCACCCAAGGGAAGCAGAGGGAAATTATTTATTCGGAACAAAACATAACACAACAACACAGCATTAGAAAGGAGGTAATCCAAGAAAGAAAGAAGAAACTCAACTGGAGGACACGAAGAATAAAACAATGAAACAAGAGAAGGTATGTGTGTAATTGGTTAGGTTTTCGCAGCAGTGCCAGCGGTGTTAACAAACAGCAAAACATATAAAATTGAAAATGGCAAAGGAAAATAAGATGAAATGAATGTAATAAAATATACTTATAAAGAGGCGGCTAACAGACTGACTGACTGACAAATTTGACTTATACACAGTGGAACTTGAGACTTGCATAAATAGCAAGTCGTGTCGGACGTACATAAGAATTGTGTGAATGCCTGGTTTGTTTGAGGATGAGTTTTGCCCGTTCGGTCATATGCGGTAGCTAGCCAGCTGTTTTTTGTCTTGGTTAAAAAACAAATAAATAAATAAAATGAAAAGGATGTTGAATATCATCAACAACAAAAACATTGACATTGACGCAGACGACTACGACAGATGGTTGACATAAACTTACCATACGAGACAGAAGTTTGCAAAGCCAAGAAACTTACTTCAAAGGAGTTGATAAAAATTATTAAATGATGCATTTTGCAGCACCAGAATAAATACATTTGTTTGTATAACATATTTTTTGTCTTTGATTACCTTTCAATGCAGACTAGAAGCAGAACAGAAGCAGAAAAAGACGAAGACGTAGCAGTTACTACTACTAAATTAGATACGACATCCTACTCCTCCTTCTTCTTTATCACCACTACAACGTCCCCCATTATTATTAAACCGACACATCGAACAGCAGCAAGCCGTTACCATAACAAACAACAATTGGAAGTGGTGGTGCAACCGACAAACTCTTACTACAACTGCAAAAGTCCACGACAAACCCAACAATATAAACTTGCCATTCTGACGTAGATTCCACCATACAACACTCTATCAATCTAATAATTCTAAAGAATAAAATAAGAAAAGCAAGAGTGCTCCCTAGAAAAAAACCACAACATTTACCCCAATTTACTACCAGCAAAAGAAATACTTTAACTTTTAACTTTGTCCAGAGTATAAAACATACCCTAACTACATTAGAACATGGATTTAGAGAAAATTTTCAACGATTTGGAATCGAATCAAAATCATGAATGTGAGGAGGCCAAAAAGAAATTAGCGGATCAATTTACACTGAGTAAGTTTTCCTTTTTGTTTCGTTTATTAAATAGTCTTTGACGTTCTAAGTATCAAATGTTTTATAGCCAAAGACCAATGGCTGGTTCACAATATGATGGAATATTATTTGAAGACTGGTTCTGTTCGCATCATTGAGGTTTTGGTTAAGGCTCAGTCTCCACACGATGGCTACCTATTTGATCGTTTAGCTGATTGGCTGAAAACACCTTCACAACGTGTTCATTCGTTAAATTTATTTTGTTTTGTTGTTCGTCGTCATCCCACATGGCTGTTTAAAGTGGAAAAACATCGTTTGATTAAGGACATGTTGCATTGGTTGAAACACTTAGAGGTGTGTATATATTTAGCTTGAAGCCAATGATTTTGTTAGGGGAAGTTTTATTGAACGTTTTCATGTTAAAAGTTTCAAATTAAAGCAGTTTCCTGCTATAATTTGGTGATCTAACTAGCACCATAATTTACACTAATAAAATTTTATCAAATTTCTCTATTAATCTTTCAGATTGAAAAAGAAATTGTGCCACTGATGAGTGCTTTATTGGCAATAATAACACTTTTACCTATTATACCCAATTTGGTACCAAATTTCCTCAATGATTTATTTGCTGTCTTCGCTCATTTAGCGTCATGGAATAATCAGCATACGACACGTTTATCCGAAGATAAATTGGTACATTTGCAGCTGGGCTTGCAAATGTTATTTCATCGTTTATATGGTATGTTTCCATGTAATTTTGTGACATTCCTAACGGAATTCATACGTAAAGAAAAGGGTGCCATATTTCAGCACACGATTAAGCCCTTATTGGAAACTGTGCGTCTACATCCCATGTTGGTGACGGCGACTGTAGAGACTGAAATGAATTCGGAAAGATGGAAAGATATACAGCCGCACGATGTCGTAGTTGATTGTATGTGCTTGTCATTACCCATGAAATATCAAGATACCACGGATGTTGGTGGCGGTGGAGGTATTTCGGCATCTAGATCTAGTGCTATACTAGCGGCCGCGGCAACGACTACAACAACTACGACAACATTTTATCAATTTATCGGTAGAGAACCACAACAGCAGAGATTAGCAGGTGTGGCAGCTGGTTGTCTACAACATAGTGCTAGCGGTGGTATTGGTGGCATTGGTAGCAACTCAGGCATATGGAGTCCTTATCATGAAATAATGAATACAAGTCATACCCCTTTAACACCCACACCGACACCATATATGATGCCTTTACCCACATCATCCGCAGCTTCAGCCCTTACTCAGGGCACTCTTGGGGTAAGCGGTTGTTCACCGCCTGAAGCGGCTGTAGAAGCTACACCGGAAACTACACCCTTAAAAGATAATCGTGACCTGAAAAGGCCCTCACTGGGCGGAGCTTCTGGCGTGGCTAATCCTTTAGCCGTGAGAGATATATTTGCCTCTAGTCAACCTTCATCACCCCATAGAGGAAAAGACACACTACACGGTCACCATTCACACAATTACCAGCAGCAGCAACATTTTAATTTTCCCGATATCCCATCATCTGTGGGCGGTACAAACAGCACTTATGTAGAACAAGAGTTAAATACCCGCTTGGTGACCAGGGCCAACACTAATTATGATCGCAAGATTCAGCAGATTTTACAAGATCGACGCCAAACCCAAAGTCCATTTCAAACGATTGAAGCACAGTCCGCGAAAATGGGCTTTCAAACGCCGAGTGATATGTGTCGTACACCTGATGTTGAAATAACAAGCAGCATTAGCTATGCTACGATGGGAGTTTATGGAAGATATCCTCATTCTAATTCCATAACACCCTTATCAGCTTTGACGGCAACACCCACACCTACGCCAGGTTCCACACCTCTACCCCTGCAAACAATGAGCACTCCCATGGAAATACCCATAACCAAAGTATGCGATCAATGTAATGAAACTGATCAAACCATGTGCACCGAAGGCGGCCTACAAATGCCAACCAGTCGTTCTATGCAACTGTTGGCTAAAGGCATAAAGAGGCGCAATCGCATGACCAGTTATTGTTACAACGAGAAAAGTTGTGAAAAAGTAGGAGTCAATGGCAACAACTGTTCGGTGGAATCGACGTACTCTAGCCAACACAAAGTTAGACGTACCAAATCTTTGTCCTCCCTCTATTTGGTCTCTTCAAAGACTTCACAGACATCTGCCGATAACTCTGATACCAACGAAGAGGATTCGGCAGCCACCACCAATGAGAGACCATTACAAAAATGCCCAAAAATGTTGGCCATAGCATCGGTTTTGAAGAACTCTAGCCATCACCAAGTGAAGGCGTTAATGGAGGACAAATCGGTGCAGACTTTGGAAGCAGTGCCTGTACAGAATCATGAAAATTCTCTACTACAAATGCTAATAGAAAGCAAAGATTGCCGGGCGGATTATGAGTCGAATCGTCAAACGCCAAATGAGATTTTAGAACAATTCATAGCAAGAGGTCTGCGTAACAATGGCATGGATAGATTCGATCAGGAACAATTTCAATTAATCTGTTTGCAACTGCAATACGAACGCTACCGGCGCGAAATACATGCTGAACGTAATCGCCGTCTGATGGGCCGATCTCGCGATAAGAGAAGTCTCGAAATGGAACGTGATCGTTTGAAGGAACAACTAAAAGATTTCGAAATGAAAAACAAAGAGTTGAGTTTGCAATTGGACAAGACCAAGAAAGCAACCAATGAACGAGAATGTGAATATCAAGAGGAACTCGAAGCGTTAAAGGAAAAATATCAAAATGAATTGGAACAGAACCGCTGTTTGCGTCAGGCCAATGAAAATTTAGAAACAAAACTTAAAGAAGAATCGAGCCAACGCAAGGATATCAACTATGAATTGGAGGCATTGCGTGGTCAAGTGTTTAGTTTGACTACGGAACTACAACATGCGCAACAACAGGCCGATATGGGCTTACAGTGTCGCCAAGAATTGGGTCGATTGGAAGCGGATTTCATAGTAATGGGAGAAGTGCAGATTAAGTGCCGTGATAAACTGGCCGAAATGGATAACTATCGGGCCAGGGATGAAGAGTTGCATGTATTGCAGGAAGCCTATAATATAGAGTTGAAAGGTAGTAAAGGAAGGTTTAAACAAAAACTGTTAGTTAAAAAATGTTTTTGCTTTTGTAGATCTTAAACACAGTTTAGATGATAAATCATCACAATTGGAAAGTGCTCGTCATAAAATACAAGAACTGCAGGCACAATTACAGAATAACGAAAAAGTGATAACCGAACAGAAACGTCTATTTAAGGCTGTCAAAGATGAATACGAAGAGAAATTTAAGGTAGGTTATGGAACGTTTATAATTTTCTGAGATTTTTTCTGTGTGTGTGATATACCAATACATATCATTATTACCAATATTACAATTTTTATTTTTTAATTCAAGTCATTAAATAAAAAATATGAAGTGCAAAAAACTATAATAATGCAAATGGAGGAGAAATTTATGATGTCTCTACACAAACCATTGACAGTGGCCCAAGGTAATGCCTGCTGTTCTCCAGACACAGATAAAACAGGTAAGAGAACAACAAATAACCCGTATTAATACTTATGCTAATGAAACAAAAACTTACAGATGTAGCCTCATCCGTGGAACGTAACTCTCCGCTTTCAACATCGTTGGCATCGAGTGAAAGTCTTTCGACCAGCTTAAGATCATCAGAATTGAGAAATTTGCAACAACTTGTGGAGAATCCTATAACGGAAATAGGCACAACATCAACGACAATAACAGGTGGCATTAATATAACCGATGGTCAACGCATAACACCACAAACATTAGATTTGGCTTCTTCGGCAAATACAGCCACAAATGTGTTACACTTGTTAAAGGAACAAAAAGAATTAAATTCACCTGAAGCCGTTGGCGGCGGAGCCACATTGAAATCAGTTATCAACGTTAGCAGCAGTCATGTCAATACTACTCCCAGCAGCAGCGGTAAAACTACCACAACGCACATGCATACAACATTAAAAGCAACCACTTCAAAAACCCTTAATACCACAACTACAGCAACAACAGATCAACCGACTTCATCTTCCCAACAACGTCGTTGATGTTTTACAAATTAAAAATAAAATTATTTTCTTAATGAATACAACAAATTAAAATAAAATATATTTAAAAAAAGAGAATAACTAAAAAATACAAAACAGCAATGCTGCCAAAAAAAACCAATAACAACAACAAAATATACATAAAAAAGGACAACATAATAAGTTGCTGATAATTTTATTTTTCTTACAAAAATTTTTGTAATAAAATAACATAAATACAACACACAACTTATACAAAATAACGCCCAATCAAAAACCAATTTGATTCTATACGTCTAACATACAACAACTCTATTGTTTCCAGTTGAAAGATAAAATTTTAATTTTTTTTTATTAAAATATCAATACAAAATTTAAGTAAACATAAAACTGGAGATAAAAAATAAAAATATAATACCACAATAACCACCACCCACAACCGTAAACCAACCATCATACAAACATACATACTTATATTTTATGCCAATAATTTTGTTTTACTTCTTATTGTTTTTGAGCTGGTACTTTTTTTTTGAGTAATATTTCCTAAGATGTTTAATATGTACCTCCTTTTTAGTCTGTCTTATATCGCTTTTTTAAAATCAATAAACCAAATTGAAATTTGTTTAACAAAGTTATTTTTCTATAAATAATTAAAAAAATAAATAAAGAAAAACTATTATACATTTTTACTGAATCTTAAGATTTTGTAATTACTGCACACATAAAACCAAACACACACACACACATCCCTCTTTATTCTCTTATTCATATGAGTATATGTTTATAATTAAAAAAAAAAGAAAGATGAAAATATTACACTATGATTGATTACAAATTATTTAAAAAAATACAAAACAAATAAAAAAGGCTATTAAAAAATGAAAATGCTACAACTATTTTTGTGTTTCCTGTACAGCAGAAACTAGTAACCGTGCCTAATTTGGCTATTCCGAATCGCATATAACCGTTAACAAAAAATAAGTACAAATTCTGTGCATAAATGGTTAAGATGTCAGTAAAATCCCCAAAAACACTTATTTTTAACTTATTTTTGAATATATCTCGATATAATATAATTAATTTCCGAAAGATATCAGCTGAAAGGTCTAGGTTTTTCGGAATTTTTCGAATAACTTCTTTCTTTATGAACCGATTTTTCTAGTTTTCAATACACAACTTTTTGAAAGTATGTCTGATGGAATTATTGAAGATCTGGGGTCTTTAGAAAATTATTTTCAACAAACATATGTACATGCAAAGAGACTGTAGGACTTCCCTACCTATAACAATTTAAAAGGTACAGGGTATAAATATGGATTTTAAGTAGGTCCCTGCAAAGTAGACATTTGGTCAGAAATTTGAGTAATCACAGATAGAACTGATTTTTATCAATTTAGACACTTATTAACAATTTTAGATTCTTAGACTGTGTGCCAAACGGCAGCAAAGTTCTATGGTAAAATAAAATTTTCTTATGGTGGAAAATATTATCACTTTTGCTGTGCCAAACGAAATCTTTTTTGATTACATTAAATTTTGACAATTGTCACTAATTGCACAAGAAAATTTGCATTTGTTTTAATAAAAGAAGAACTTTTATTGATTTTTTTATTATTGAAATAAATTTCTACAATCACAAATGTAGAATGTAAATTTTTGATAGATATGAGGTGAATAAAATTTTACTAGCTCATCGGGCTACATAAATTTTTGACAAATGAAAAAAAAAAATTTGAAAATACAAAAAATAAAATATTTTATAATTTTAGTTTATAAAATACATTTGTGGTTGTAGAAATTTATTTTAATAATACAAAATCAATAAAAGTGTTTCTTTTATTAAAATAAATGCAGATTTTCTTGTGAAATTAGTGACAATTGTCAAAATTAAATGTAATCAAAAAATATTTCGTTTGGCACAGCCAAAGTGATAATATTTTCCACCATAAGAAAATTTTATTTTACCTTAGAACTTTGCTGCCGTTTGGCACACAGTCATAAACTGAAATTATAAAATATTTTATTTTTTTGTATTTTCAAATTTTTCTTTTCATTTGTCAAAAATTTATGTAGCCCTATGAGCTAGTAATATTTTGTTCACCTCATTCATATCTATCAAAAATTTTCATTTTCAACTAAATTGTTACCGATTGGCACACACTCTAAGAAGTTTTCGTATAAAAATTTAATATTGTTCAGAAGTAAAACTAACACTTGCAAACAAAATAGATAGTAGTTTTTAAAATGATTGAGATGAATCCAAATCTGGATTCGGAATTTATGATCAGGTTTTAGAGAAATCGTGTTATAGTCATGTCAAGTTTGAAAAAACCTCGTTTTTGGTAATATTTGTGACGATACAACAGCGCAAAGACAACTTTATTTATAAAATCATCTGAAAGTCCCCTCTGTCGCCTTTAAAGTAAGTTCTTCTTCTTCTTTTAAAGGACATTTGAGAATTATAAGTGCACACAGATCGGCCGCCTTTTCTCAAACTAACTTTTTTCAATTATTTAAGTTTTTCAATACAAAAGTCGATTTTGGACGATTTCTCAATTTAACGGCAATTGCGAAGTTATTAAATTTTGAACATTCTTGGAATTTCTTATGTAAAAACATTTTTTCTTTAGAATATTAGTGATCATTCAAAGATTTTTGATCGGATATAAGTGATCACAGATCGTGTTCCCTTTGTCTATTAAAAGCTTTTTTAAAAAATATGTATAAATAATTACCGTGAAATACGCAATCTCGTAATTTGAGATGATAGCACTCAATATCAAACAAGAAATACCGTACATTTTAGCTTAATTTCGAATTTTGAATATATTTCAAAAGAAAAATTTTTTGGAGACACAATAAAAAGCAGTTTTGTTTTAAGGTTTTCGCTAGTTTATTTAAGAATCTAAGTTTTATATATTCGTATGTAATAATTCATAATTGAGATTATATTGTAAATAGTCAAATGTTTGTTTCATTCTGTTTTTGTTCATTCATCCTGCCAGGCAAGTTAATTATAAAGTTACAAACGTAATACATAATAATTCAACTTGAATTATAGTTAATACTAGATTCATTTAATATAAGCAATAAAAAATGTACTTAACTTAAATGATGTCCAAATCAGAGAGATAGGAGGCATCATATATCATAATTACAATAAAGTGGGTAAATAATATTAACAAATACATGTAAATAATAAAACATATAAATACAGTTACTTCATGATGGCTTTGCTGCTGGTCATGATGGAGATGATGACAATATTTTGCATAATATTGACTCGACTATTTGGCTTGTTCGGAATCACTGGAATTAACAATTGGTGGTGAAGAGCGACCATCAGACTGTATCTGATGTTGATTAACTAAACGTTGACGTTCCAAATACATGGATACTTTAATATTGCGTACTTGATGATTGTTTATCAACTTCAAGAGGGCAATAACACCAATGCCCACATTAATGGCAAAAGCACCCCAGGCACCAAACTTTGAATAAAAGCAAAATTATTATTACATTTATATACGTAGCTAACAATAGGAAACTTACCTGAGCGGTACCCATTTCAATGTAAAAACCAGAAGTATCAATATTATCCGTATTGCCATGTATAATATTTTGCCCAGCTGTTATTTCACATGTGGGAAAACGTTCAGTCATGCCATCACACCAAACTATAAATCCCAACGTAATCATTATAGAGGAAATAATGGACATGGCCAACATCCATATGCTTAAGACAACATCTATGAATAGAGCCAAAAATCCTTCTTCATCCTTCATGCGGGCATAACGATAGATTTGTGCACAGGATATGATCAACATAAATATACCAGTTACTAAAGGAAAGTTACAAAATCCCGATGAAGACCAGCTGGGATCAAACATACCATCTTCCTCACGCCATTTACCCGTTGTAAATAACAAACAGTGACCACTGTCCAAACACACATACACACAATCACAAGAAATTAGTCATTTATTGTTACAATTGTTTAATCAAATTGTATTTAATTCTTACCAAAAATCGTGTAAATTTATACTTAAGGGTACAATGATACAAAACGATAATATTCCCACTATAACGTGTCCGGTTATTTGGCTTAACATTAAAACATTAGCCAAAGCCATTTTTTAAATTATTTTTCTTGTTTAATTTTAATCAATTTACTATTTATTCTAATTTTACGCAGTTGCACAAAAAACACTTTCTTTTATTGTTGTATATTGCAAGGGAGAATCATAATAAAAAAATGCAAGAAGAGATAAAAAACCAACATCTGTGTGTAAAATGTCAGAATGAAAACAAAAACAAAAACACAAAGTTGTATTTACTATAAACACAAGGTTGCCAATTTAAAAAGTCAAAAATCAATATAATTATTCTCGAACTCGATATTCTTGAAATTGTGATAATATTGTAGACAGAAAATTCAAGGGTATAAACCCAGCTCCTAAAAACACTTTGTGTGCTCTCTTTTAAAGCCCTAATAGACTACACAAACGGCATGACAAACATACCAATATTTTACGTTTGTGCAAGCCTGTCGTCTAGTGTATGAGGGTGTTTCGTTTGTACAAATGCTTGTTGTTTGTTTGTACAAAAATTAAAAATTTTTTATTTTTACACAAACATATTGAATTTTTGTCAAACCATTTGTATGGTTTATAATCATTAACAAATTTTTCGAAAAATTTTCATTTCTAAAAAAAATTGACATCTGTATGTTTGAAAGTCCACAAAAACGTGAAAAAAATCGGTGTTTGTACGAGCAATGTTTGTGTAGTGTGTGTGCGAATGAAAAAAGTATGTTTGATAAGCCGCTTGTTTTTTATTATTTAGGTACAATTATAAAATTAAACCTTCTTCTACTAATCCATCTTTGAATTTGATTAGACGAGTTTCCGATTTTAAGATAATATTTGATAAGGAGATATAATTTTGCACATATTTTTCAATTTCCATTTGAGCTTTGCGTGTACCTTTAGTCAAAAAGTGCACGTATTTGGAATATAGGTATATGAGTAACAAAATTTTTTATTGAAACTACATATATATTATTTCAGATTTGAAACTTGAAAATATCATGATTAAACGATGTTCTAGAGCACTAAATATGATATTATGAATGAACTTCGTAAAAAGTGGTATTTTTTCAAGTTTTATGTTTAGTCTAGCAGTTTTTGTCGTCCTCCTTATTTATTCCATTTTGGGCACACTATCATTACATACATATGTTTCTTAAACGACGTGTATTTACTTCAGTTTTCATCACTTTAACGAATACGAGGGCACGTCGATTGGTAAAAAGGTTTAAAAAACAAAAACTTTCTTAAGATCTAGACAAATTGTGGAAGATACATTATCAAAATACGCGGAAATAAGGGCGAATTTTTGATTACTCACCAACAATTTTTTAAGAAATTTTAACTTTGGCTGCCCGTAGCGTTTATATGTATATAAAAACATCGAAATGGGGAAACTTATAAGCTAAAGTACAGTAAAATGAAATACAAATGTAGAAATCATCTTATTTAATTCCTACAAGAGGAAATACCTGTGGATATAAATCAGTTTCATTAAATTAAATATTTTTCTGAATTTAACCATAAAACAAGTTTTTAGAACTTAATTTTATCAATTGTAAATATAATTTTCTATGCGCTTAACATTTTTATATATTATAATTCGTTTATAACATTTGAAATGGCACAGAAAAACGCTAAAATACTTAAATTTAATTTTAGGACGAATAATCTTATGGCATACTCCGTTTTGAAAAGTTAGGTCAAAGTAAGGAGATATTGCAATTCGAAGTTTGAATTGTCTCTGAAGCCATTTTTGTTATCTTAATTTGTTGTTTATTTGTCGAAATTTAATTCTAAAATTGACTTTCGGCCATGACCATTCCATAAAAACATAATAAAAAAGTTAAAAATAACTTTTCATTATGGTTAGAGTTAAGTTTCAAAAAGTAAACTATAAATTTATTAATTTTAAAACAGCTTTTGAAGCCTTTACCTTAAGATGTAATAAAAATCGCTCCAGAGACAACGCCAACTTCAATCACTAATACAAAAACTTTCTAAAGTGTTTTGATAACACAAAATCGGTAAAAAAATTTTTGACAATGGATCGAATTATAGGCACTTTTATAGAAAAATATATATTAGCACCCAATGGGTTAAAATATAATATTACAGTAACTTCGAGGGACCAGGAAAATTTGTTCGTTAAAAGCAAAGACGGATTATTTTCCTATGATTTTATGACATAATTTTTAAGTTCGTTATAAAAAAGTAAAATAGTAAGAAATTGTACTTGAGGTACTGAAAAAGTAGTTCGTTATGTCCGAGAATTCGTTTAAATCGAGTTCGTTATACCAGATGTTTTTTGTATGAAAATAGTTACCAAAATGTTGGTACTTGAAAAATAGGTTGTAATAACCGAGAACTGTTCAGCAGATATTAAACCTTATATATAATGTTTTCGAACGCCTATAACTCCTTAATTCAGTGTTCAGTACTATCCATAGACAAATTTAAAAAATGGAGGCGTTTAGAGTTATTAAGGAATTCAAATATTCCACATATAGGGTGTAGTTACTGAAACAAATATGGCAACTTTATAATTCTAATATAACAAATATGACGTCACAAAACAGCTGACCCTCAATGTTTTGACATTAAACAGTTGTATGCAAATGTTTACGCCTTTTGAAGAGAAAAAATTACAAGAAATATTAAAATTAATATAAAATTAAAAAAAAATCACCTAATTAATAACTAATTTAAGAAAATGTTATCTCAATATATGGAAGAATTTGAACAGGTATAAAATAAATTAAAACTTCCAATAAAAAACAATAACAATTGCGGTTTACTAATAACATTCTTATAGGAACCTTTTGAGGTCAGTGAATTTGTGGAAAGATTAACTTGGCGCACCAACAACGAATGCGTCAACAGCAAAAAAACCGCCTCGGAAAATATTCTAGCAGCAGAAATCAAAGATTTCAATCCCACAGCCTTACATGATACCTTCATACAAACGATACAAGATTTAAAAATTCTGCAGGAAAAACAGCAGGCTAAATGTGAACGTCTGGAGGAATCGTTAAAAAAGGAACAAGAAGAACATGCTAAAAATATTGTAAAACTAAAGGAACGTCATCAATTGGCTTCGGATGTTTTCTGGCAATTGGATGAGAAAATCAATTCGGTGGCTGGTAAAATTATACATTTGGGAGAACAATTGGAAAATGTTAATACGCCACGTAGCCGTACAGTGGAGGCACAAAAATTACTTAATTATATGTCGGAATTTTTAATTAGTGGCCCCCTGGTTAATGATATCTTCACAGATCCCTCAAGACTCTATGAAGCGGCGGATGTTATACAAAAGTTATATGCTATAGCCCAAGATTTACCCTTGGAGAAATTTACTGAATCCAAAAGAAAAATCGAAAGAAAATATGATGAGGTTGAGCGAAGGTTAATTGAAGAGTTTGCTGCTGCTCAAAAGAATGAGGATATAGAGAAAATGAAAAAATTGGCACAAATATTGTCGCAATTTAAAGGTTATGCTCAGTGTATTGATGCCTACATAGAGCAGAGTCAAATGACTCCATATGGCGGTAAAGATATATTCATTGGCATTGTACCCATGTGTAAGCATCATTATGAGATTATAAAGAAAGTATTTGCCAATCCACAACAGGTTATGACCAAATTTATTTTAAATATTTATCAATTGAAATTACATCAATATGCCATGACCAAATTGGACGACAAAAGGGATGAGGAGAAATATTTAAAGACCTTATATGAGTTGTATTCACGGTGAGTTTTAGAGCAATGTGTAAAAATTATTTATTGCTAATACACTTATTTCTTTAGTACCCTTAAACTGTCTTCGGAATTACAACACTACATGTCCGCCATGGATGATGATTTGCTAAATAAACTAACCCAGCAAATTTTTCAAAAACATTTGGCTAATTATGCAGAAATTGAATCGAAATTCCTACAAACTAAATGCTCTAATGAATTGGAAAAATTCTATGCTAGTAAGAATCATCAAAAGAAACCAACCGAACGTTTCCAGGAACTTAAGCGTGATGTGCAAGTACTTATACGCACCAAAGCCAATATAAATATAGCACAAGTTGAAGATTATGGTGGCGAAACATTTCTTTCCGAAGAATTGGCTATCAAAATGTTGCAAGAAGCTAATGCTGCTCTTAAACGTTGTCGTTTGTTATCGAGTGAATCGGAACTGCCAGGAAATATTGTTAAGTTGAATGATATTTTATTAAGATTCCTAATGCATGAGCATGCAAATTATGCTTTGGATTTGGGTTTAAATATAATACCCATTGCTGATACGGGTAGAACTTTTCCACAATTGTATTTCTTTGATGTGGTACAAAAAACCAATATTATAACACATCTATTGGAAGATCAGTGTAATACTTCGGTGGTGCCTTGTGTAATGTATGTGGTTGTGGTTGCTATGAAAAGAAATTTAATTTAATATTTATTTGCTTGTTTTGTGTGTCTTTTTCAGAAATACTCCGAAATATTCTGATTATTTGTTCAAGAAACGCATGATGATGGAACAAATTGAAAATAAACTTGATCAGGGCTTAGATCGTACCTTAAATGCGGTAATAGGCTGGGTTAAATTTTATCTACAAAATGAACAAAAGAAAACTGATTACAATAAACCAGATTCTGATTTTGACACTTTATCATCGGCAGTAAGTTAACACTATTATATTCTATTAACATTTAAACATATATATATAATTCTTCCAGGCCTGTTTACATGTCTGTCAAAATATTCAGCCCGTTATACAACAGATCAAAAAATGCATCGATGGTGAAAATCAAAAATTTATTTTAAACGAATTTGGCGTACGTTTACACCGCGTTATTTATGATCATTTACAAACGATGCAATTCAATACGGCTGGTGCCATGTGCGCCATTTGTGATGTCAATGAGTATCGCAAATGTATACGTGAGTTGGACAGTTCATTAGTAACCCAACTCTTTGATATTTTACATGCTTTGTGTAACTTATTACTGGTTAAACCAGAAAATCTATTAGAAGTTTGCACTGGTGAAACTTTGGTATGTTTTTTTACTAAATTGATTTACTTTTTTTGTTTTTAGTTTAAAAATTGCTTGTTTTTGATTCTTCTAGAATTATTTGGACAAATCGGTTGTACGTCAATTTATACAATTACGTGCTGATTTTCGTGATATAAAAAATACCAATAATTTGAAGGGTATTATCGAGTAAATGTATAAAATTGCAGTATTCCTAGAAGCGGAAATTTAAACGTAAAAAAGTCAAATTACTCATCGATAATATTTTATAATTTATTACTATTTTATAATTTCTTAATATGTTATACTACCTATTATTTAATAAAATATCTTTAATCTTTGGAAAAGAAAAACATTCCATTTAATGATTTAACAATAAAAACAAATGTTTCCTTTCAATTTTTGGTATGTTATTGATAATTGAAATTATTGATATCAATAATTTTGGACTGATTCAACACACATTATATAGAACGGTTATGGAGCGATATTGTCGCAAACAAAACTATTTCCTGGAAACCTTTAGATTGTTAATTCTCTTTTAAAACCAGTTTTTTTTAGTAATTTTATTTAAAATTGTCAAGATTGGAACAGAATTTGTGAAAAATAATGCCTCATCCTACTGTGCAAGGATTAGGATCAGCCTGTAGTAATGTCCGGTTTTACCGACCTATCTCTACTATTAAGATCCAGTTCCGAACCTTATCTGGTCAATTATCACAGTGTTCTGGTAACCAACACATCCATATTCCACTTCCAAGGTTCTTCTGCAGCTAGTTACTAAGCTAGAATGTAGCGTTGACATTCCTAAGCTTTAAGCGCTGCTTGACTTGCGATCCCCTAATAATGTGTGTGTTTATAAAATCCACGGCATTCCAGATCTCTAAGATCTCCGTCTAAAAGAGACTAAATTCGTCCGGAAGTCAACAAGAGAGTTTTATGTAGTTTTGGAAACACTATTGAGGGTGTAACTCAGAAGTCTATGGACGTATCTAAATGATCGGAAATACTTCAGAGATTCTACCAAAACCTCCCCCTACGTTCAGTAAACCTAGTGTGACCTACCCGCTGTGGTTTTATCAGAGCCCGATCAAAGAGTCCTTTGAGCCTTATTGAGCATTAGTGCATTCCTCATCGCTATACACCACACAATACAGCCATAGGCAATAATAGGCGTTACTACCGTCGTATAAAACTAAATCTAGTTTCCAATCTACATTATCTCCAATTATTAATGAAATTTCTTCACGTGTAGTAATCATTGAGACTGTTTTTATTTTTTTTAATAAATCCCCAAAGGTTGAGTTGATAATTCAAGAAACAAAACTATATAACTTTACCCCGAGTATTACTAACGACTCCCTGGTGTCCCCTATTTTAATATTATTAAAGGTACCCTCTCTATCCATAAACGCTACTAGATCTCTATGTTCCCAGTAATAATTCAGAACAAGCATGGAAAACTTAGTACTTCAGTACTTTATTCAGAACATTTTTATATCGAAATGGTACCTCCACAACATTTTCAGTACTTTTTCGAACTAATAAACAATAGACCAGTTTGTAGTCTATAGTCTAGTCTAGTCTATAGTCTAGTTTATAGTCTAGTTTATAGTCTAGTCAATAGTCTAGTCTATAGCCTAATCTATTGTATAGTTTATAGTGTAATCTATAGTTTAGTCTATGGTCTAGCCTACAGTTTAATCTATAGTCTATTCTATGGTCTAATCATATAGTTTAGTCCATAGTCAAATTCTATAGTTCACATCTATTGTATAGTCTATATTCTAGTTTATAGTATAGTCTAATAAGATTCTACTGTATATCTATAGTATAAGTCTATAGTCTAGTCTATGTCTAGTCTATAGTCTAGGTCTAAGTATAGTCTATAGTCTAGTTCTATTAGTCTAGTCTATAGTTCTAGTCTATAGTCTAGTTATAGTCTAGTCTATGGTCTAGTCTATAGTTAGTCTATAGTCTAGTTTTATGGTCTAGTCTATAGTCTAGTCTATAGTGCTAGTCTATAGGTTCTAGTCTATAGTCTAGTCATAGTCTAGTCATAGTCTAGTCTATAGTCTGTCTATAGTCTAGTCTATAGGCTAGTCTATAGGCTAGTCTATAGTCTAGTCTATAGTCTTAGTCTATAGTCTAGTCTATAGTCTAGTCTATAGTCTAGTCTATAGTCTAGTCTATAGTCTAGTCCTATAGTCTAGTCTATAGTCTAGTCTATAGTCTAGTCTATAGTCTAGTCTATAGTCTAGTCTATAGTCTAGTCTATAGTCTAGTCTATAGTCTAGTCTATAGTCTAGTCTAATCTAGTCTATAGTCTAGTCTATAGTCTAGTCTAAGTCTAGTCTATAGTCTAGTCTATAGTCTAGTCTATAGTCTAGTCTATAGTCTAGTCTATAGTCTAGTCTATAGTCTAGTCTATAGTCTAGTCTATAGTCTAGTCTATAGTCTAGTCTATAGTCTAGTCTATTAGTCTAGTCTATAGTCTAGTCTATGAGTCTAGTCTATAGTCTAGTCTATAGTCTAGCCTATAGTCTAGTCTATGTCTAGTCTATAATTCTAGTCTATAGTCTAGTCTATAGTCTAGTCTATAGTCTAGTCTATAGTTTAGTCTATAGTCTAGTCTATAGTCTAGCCTATAGTCTAGTCTATAGTCTAGCCTATAGTCTAGTCTATAGTCTAGTCTATAGTCTAGTCTATAGTCTAGTCTATAGTCTTGTCTATAGTCTAGTCTATAGTCTAGTCTATAGTCTAGTCTATAGTCTAGTCTATAGTCTAGTCAATAGTCAATTCTATAGTCAATTCTATAGTCTAGTCTATAGTCTAGTCTATAGTCTAGTCTATAGTCTAGTCTATAGTCTAGTCTATAGTCTAGTCTATAGTCTAGTCTATAGTCTAGTCTATAGTCTAGTCTATAGTCTAGTCTATAGTCTAGTCTATAGTCTAGTCTATAGTCTAGTCTATAGTCTAGTCTACAGTCTAGTCTATAGTCTAGTCTATAGTCTAGTCTATATTCTAGTCTATAGTCTAGTCTATAGTCTAGTCTATATTCTAGTTTATAGTCTAGTCTATAGTCTAGTCTATAGTCTAGTCTATAGTCTAGTCTATAGTCTAGTCTATAGTCTAGTCTATAGTCTAGTCTATATCTAGTCAATAGTCTAGTCTATAGTCTCGTCAATAGTCTAGTCTATAGTCTAGTCTATAGTCTAGTCTATAGTCTACTCTATAGTCTAGTCTATAGTCTTTATTTTAGTCTATAGTCTAGTCAATAGTCTAGTATAGTCTGTAGTCTACTCTATATTCTAGTCTATAGTCTAGTCTATATTTTAGTCTATAGTCTAGTCTATAGCCAAATCTATAGTATAGTTTATAGTCTAGTCTATAGTTTAGTCTATAGTCTATTCTATAGTCTAGTCTACAGTATAGTCCATAGTATAGTATACTCTAGTTTATAGTCTAGTCTATAGTATAGTCTTTGGTCTTGGGTATTGTCTAGTCTGCTATCTAGTCGACGGTCAAGTGAATCATGTGAATCTGAACCACACAAAAGTATTGGCACTTCCGTAATTGAAAGGTTATTGTTGCAAGAACTGTTTCTATTCGATTTCGTTTTTGAATTAGTTTTTTTATAACAAATGTTATTTTTGTGGCGTATGATGATGACAATAAAGATGCCGAAGACACCGTTACATTTTATTTGTATGTATATTTGATGCAACCATGTAGAACCATAAATTCGAATTTGTTTCAATACTATTGCGGACTCCGTTAGTATAAATTATGCAGTTGTAGTTGAAATATCAATTTCCAATAAATATTTAAGTTTTAAGATAAAATTTTGAGACAAAAATTCTATACAAATCTGAACACAAACCGTGTAAAATATTCGCACGAGTCATCTAGTTAATAGATAATCTAACAAAATCTCAAAATTAAAAAAAATTTATAATGATAATACTTCAACAATTTATGTCACGTATTAAATATTAATAATAATCTATTTTTAAATACAATGATCGAAAAAGTGCGAGTATACAATGAATAAAAATATTATTGACCAAATAAATTCATTAAATAAAATGACAATTTTAAAACATACAAATTAATAAAGAAAAAATCCCACCACTTCAACATTAACTTTATCACAAATAACAAATATATTAATATGGAAATATTTAAATAATGATAAGAAGGGGACTACAATGACGCTCATAGCAATTTCGCATTTGACTGAATTATGGCCAGTATTAAATCAAAATTATTCAATAACAAAAAAAGTGATTGGCGATAAAATAACGATATCAGACGAAATATGTATACGAAACAAAAAAACAAATCACATAAATCCATAAAACAACCAATCATTAAAAGGGGAATAAGTAGGCTGGTACTGGTATACTGTAGAAAATCGAATCGAAAACGTAGTATAATTAAGAAAAGGCCATAAATGAAGATTATTTAGTATCACTACTAATACAACTACTGTTTATACAAAAACCCATACACAAACATCGTAAGCTAATGCATTATCAATATAACGAAACATAAAGAAATAACGGGTTCTTTAGCGATATCAGCTACTAAATGTCCGACAGTTATTTCGCGAACGCCAACAGTAAATATCGTTTTACTTAATATTCTTATTAGACAGAACTTTATTTGTTTAATTTTATTACTTATTACTTGAATTTGAGCATTTATATAGACATTTTATATCGGTTAATTAAAAGTGACGTTTGAGAGTGACAGTGATTTTTTAAGTGGCAATACAATTGAAAAAACCCATTAATATTTTTAATTTTGAAACTATAAATAACATTGAAATTTGTAATTGCTATTATATTCTTGAAAGAACTTTTGTATAGTAAAGGGACTAATAATGAGAGGTGTTTATTTTTTGAAAATTTTATTGCTGACCTTGTATTTGTCGTTAACTGGGTCACAAGCGCAAGGAGCTGCCATAAGTAAAGTAAATAATTTGGCGAAAAAATTGTTAATGTCAAAATCATTACCCTTTGAGGATTGTGGTGAGTGTATAGTGGTATAAATTTGATATAAATTTAGATTACATAATGCATATTAAAATATTTAGTTGTTTTTTTGTTAATAAAGTCTTTCAAAAACGGGAATAAATTGAACATTTTTTTGATTACAGAAATAATAGAAATAGGTTTAAAATAGGTTTAAAATAGTCGATACAGAATTACAAAAAATTAAATATTTGGAGCTATCGGAATTGTTTTCAATTTGCAACTTATTGTGCCTATTATTTAGACTAAAGACTACAATATACTTAGACCAGACTACAGCTAGACTGTACTAGTCTGTGAGAAGACTATAGACT